ATGATTTGTTTGTCTGATCTGGGGGAGAGAATCCGGAGAGACTATCATTTGCAAGAGTTTGCATCATTGTTGCCTCGAGGGCCCGCGGCGCCGTCGTGGCATTCAGGGTGGTCACTTCGCGATTAGCATCGCTGGGAGTCCGAGTGCACCATGGGGTCTCATCGTTAATATCCGCCTACATACTTCGCGGTGGGCATGCTTGCGATGATTGCCGATCTTGTTTTACAGAGCTCCTCGAAGCAGTGCGACCCGCGACGCATTCCAGCACAACGTTAGCATTTGGAGATTGCATTGCGAAGTTATTGGAGAAATAGCCTGGAGACGAACAGCGCGCGGGGCAATGTGCGCACCTTGCTGGCGCCACTCCGACGTCGACGCGCAAAATCTGCATTGGGCAATTGTTGCTCGAGTTATGCGTTGCTGCAGACATGTCCAATGCAAAATGTATGCTCGATGCGCCCCTCAATCAGCGCATCACTCACCGGAGCTTGGTCATTGAACCCATGCTTCTCCCATATCGACCACGTGCAATGCAATATCTCAGTTCCTCCTCGGGCCAAACATTGCCAGACGCATCAGGCAGAAACGCTGCGCAGCCAACATTATTTGACCACCGTGGACTTCGCTTTGCATTTGCAAGCACAACCTCCACTTCAATGGCGTCGCCTTGATATTTCGTTTGCGCGGGGGCCGGGGACGGGGGGGAAGTTCACATCCAGCTTTTACGACGAATTTGCCTTCAATGTTGCGCGCGCTTTTATGCGGACCAGACAGAAGCCGCCGAACGAACCGTGGATATCGCCGAACAGTGGAACTCCCCACGACAATTTGGGAATGCCGACCGCGATAAAGTTTTAAAAGCGACGGTTCGGAAGAGCGCCCAGACCGACCGTGCGAATTTGAGCAGGTCTATTTTTGTTGGTGGCAGCCGGGGCGCCGTCAGAAATTCCGGAAGAAGCCTCAAATGAAGCATGCTGGAGCACGTGATTTTAGCAATGATTTTACAGATGCCGCGGGGCGCTCAGACTTTTCGGCGGACTATTTCGAAACAAGTCGAATGGCAAGTGCAGTGTGCGAGCCTGGTGCCTACTGCCACTGGCGCCCCCAGTGCAGATCCGGTGCAGGATGGCGGAAGTACTGGTCGCATTGAAGAGACTGAAGAATGGGAAAGCGGCCGGGCCGGATGCCTCACCGCAGAATTAGAAGAAGACACGTGTAGCTCGATGTACACAGGCATGCGAAGTTTTTCATGTAGACATGTCAAACATGTTGGGGGAGGACCAAACATGGGAGACTACGCGGAGACTTGCCATACTCGTGGCGGAAAGCACATGTTGAATCATTTGTCTAAAAGGGAACGCGCAATGACCCAGTGACTAGCCACCAGCACTTTTCCTGTTTCATTCAAAGCTCTGGCGGCCATGTTGCACCGGCGGTTTCTTCGAGGCTGACTTGAAGAACGCCGCCACGTTCGGCCATGTTATACGAGTGGTTTCTTCGAGGCACGTGTTGGACAACCGCCGCCACTTGTATTTATTCGCGCCGTTCTTTCGAATTTGTCGACCATTGTCGTAGTTTGTTCTGACCGTCTGCAAGCTGCCTGTATCGCACAAGGTTGTCCTCGTTCACCATGCCTGTTGTATTTGTCCAAGTGGTGATGCTTGCAGACGTGTTCTCGAATCTACAGCTCTATCAAAGACCTGATTATGTAGCGGCCCGGGATCTACTATACGCAGACGACGCAGCGCGGGCGTCGCAAAGCGTGGATAATTTGCACATGCTGTTGGGCGCTACGATTTCAAAAGGAAGTACGACGGTCCCGGATTGAATGTGGCAAAGACGGTGCAAATGCAAGTCGCTACTAAGAACGAGGTGGCAAGGCCGGACGGAGAATTGTTCGAAACTATCACAGAAGCCATATCCCTCGGAAGTCTGATTGCGCACGACGGACGAGTGGTAAATTAATTGACATGGGGGTTGGGAGAGAGCAGATTCATTGTTCAACAGTTGCACAACATTTGGACACATTTCCCGCTTGGTACCCAACCGTATAGGTTGATATGCACTTTTTGTGTCCTCTGCAAACTGTTGCACTCGTTGGTCTCTTTGTGGTTCGTCAAAGTGGACACAGACAGACCTTGATGTTGCTCATTGCAAGTGATTGCGGGACTGTTTTCGGATAGTGCCGTTGTATGTTGCAAGAGTGGCCAACGCCGGTGTGCTGGAAAAGGCTGGTCCCAGCTCTCTGTCCGCAATCCTGAGGGGCCGCCAAATCCACCTGCATAGTGAGATTGCTTCGCGGAGCGACGGCTCTTTAGTTGAACCATTTGTGTGCGATGCCAGTGGCGGTCCTAGAAATTGGGCCCTTGATCGTTGACGCCTCGGCGTCCGAGACAGCAGGGAACACAATGTGTAGCTGCTATGGTACGTGCGCGCTTTTCATTGTCATTCGTTTGCCCCCGTCTTTGCCATCCTCCAATTCCCTCCTTTTGCCCGCCTGCTGTTACCAGCCCAGGCCTGTCGTATAGTTGATTATCTTGTTTTTTCGCCGTTGGTGACCCTACGCGCAAGCTTGCCCACGCGCTTTTTAGGCGCAAGGCCTCAGACAGTCAGTCAGAGGTATAATCAGCACCCGCAGGGTGCAATGAGATCTGTTAGGTGCCAAAGTTGAGGGCCAGTTGATATGCAAGCAGCTGTCGTGGGATTACATGAAGTTGGGAATGTCCCAGCAGGCATCACATTATATTTTCTGTAGTAGGATCCAATTCAAGTTGCATGCAGCTTTACCACCGATGTAGTAGACTTCCAGACACTTTGGCGAGTTTCGAGTACAGTTGCACGGACCCCCAGGAGGGTTTCGTTAGACTTGCTGGCAGTGTTTGCCAGATGTCATCAAAGTTGTAGGCATGGTTCACCTTTGTGCAAAACGTCAGCAGTTGCAGTGGGATGCGTGTGCATCTGTAGGCAGTTGTTGTTGGGAGTTATTAGAGCGGTTGGGTGTTCCAGCAGGTTTCGTCTATCAGAGCTGCAGGGAACTCTAGTTAGCTTCGATGGGACATGCTATATTTCGCGTAACCCCACCCCCCGGATAATAACATTTTCTGAGAGTTGATTTTCCCTGGCCACTGCAGAGTTGGTCGGGGAGACGGGCGGCAAGGCCGCATTACATTACCGCGGAGGACAATTGCGAACCGAAGTTGTTATTTTCTTATGTTGATTCGCAACATCAACACACACGTGTGGCAAGTCGCAAGGGAGGCTCCGTATTAGGAACGCCACATAATTCAAGAACGCGGGCCAATTTTAGTATGTGCGCTGCGCAGATGCCGTCATCATTTCCATCATCACGAACATCTTCATAATCCTCCCCAGCGTCATTTGTGCTGCGATCTGCTGTGGACTTGTTGATTTATTATCCCCCCTGGGGCCCATAATGTGTTACCCCCGGGGATTATGTCAGGAGTAGTTGGTGACGGAGTTCTTGTAGGATTGGATTACATACGCGAGGCGATCCTTACGAATCTGTCTGAACTATCGCGGTCCATGGTGGATTCAGATTTGCAAGGGGCTCCAGCACGGAAGTGGTATCACAGTTGGTAGCATCGCATCCGAGCAGTAACCAGGTGGCGCGGGAGGGTATGCGTGTGAAGCTCCTGGCAGGTGCTGATGCGAGGAGGGAGCACGAGGATGAGGAGGACCGCCAGGAGTGCACAGAGGGGGCAGACAGGGGAGGGCCAGAGCCCTCCCGAACCCAAGCCCACTCCGCTGTCGGGCTCCTTGCCCTCTCCTTGCCGGAGCGCTGCCAGGACCCCCCGGTCCCCCTCGCGCTGCCCCTCCCTCCCTCCTCGCCCCGCCCTCTGCCTCCCGCTCCCATCCCATCCTCGCCCCATCCCATCCCATCCTCGCCCCATCCCATCCCATCCCTCTGCCTCCCACCCTTCTCGCCCCATCCCAGTCTCCCTCCCTCCCCGCTCTTGCTGCCGCTCCCCCCCCCTCCTCCTCCGCCCCCCTGTTCTTCTTGGCGTCCAGGGGTCGGTCTCTGGGCGACGTGGCCACCGGGAGCCCGGTCAGAACGGGAAGCTGGCCTGGGGAGGGGGCCAGGTCCGCGGTTCATGGATGGGGACCCGAGGGACGGGGTCGTAAGGACGATGTGCCTCAAGCAATGTACATCCATTTGGGGATATTGTCCTATTCTCAGGGCCCCATCCCTCAGGACCACATCTTGGAGCCACCGGTCAGGAGGTCCCGTGGTCTGCGTCGCGTCGCGAATAATTAAGGTTGTCGGGCTGTCGGCGGCCCGGGCCCTCTCCTTCCTCGCTCCCTCCTCCTGCCGTCCCTCCATCTTTCTAGCCATTCGTCCTTCGCCGGTCCCTCCTTCCTTCTAGCCCTCATGGGTGGGGTCCGAGTAGATGGGGTCGGAGGACTGTGCCGCATCGCCGATGTATCGACGATGCGGCTCGATGAGGGGCCCGTGCTTCCCCACGCCGACGTCGCCGACGCATCGCCGACGTCGCGGATGCATCGCCGATGCATCGGCCATACATTGTCGATGCATTGGCGATGCGGCGCGATCCTCCGAACCAAGCTACTCAGTCCCAATCTATGAGACATCTATTCGTCCTGCCCACCCCTCCTTTTTCAAGTGGGCAGCGCGAAGGCCTTGATCCGAGCCTGCCAGTCCGTACTGTTTGCGCAGGGCAGCTGGATCGCTGGTGTCACTGGCGTTTCGTTCATTGCGCATTTCACACACGCTTGCTCGCTCGCTCGCTCGTCCCCTCTCTCCCTACTCCATCTTGCTCCATCGTTCCTTCCATCATTCTTCCTTTCCAATTACATTCTCCTCACCAGTCCTTCCTTTATTATTCCTTATCATTGTATGTTTGACTATCTTCACTCTCCTTCGCACGCCCTCCCTCCCTCCGTCCCCCTGTATCCCTCCTTTTTTCTCGATCCTTCCTTGATCTGTCCCCCCTCACTTCCCCCGTCTGAGACTGAGACAGGACGGCTTCTTGAACGAGACCGACTTCTTGGGCGGCATTCTCGCTGTCAGCCCATCCACGCCCCACAAGCCTGAGAACCCTGCCGGCCAGCTTCGGACGCCATGCCCGCAGCAGCCAGGAGAAGGAAGCGGAGGAGAAGAAGGGTGAGACGGAGGAGGAGGAGGAGGAGGAGGAGGAGGAGGAGGAGGAGGAGGAGGAGGAGGTTGAGGAGGAAGAGGGTCGCCGGTTGGGGCAGCCCTGTTCGGGCCCTCGGGGGCCCCCCTGTGGGCCTCGAGGCCTCCAGGGGTGGCGCAGGAGGACAGCGGGCGCGCGCGCTGGGCAGCTGCCCCGTGGCCAGGGCCCTGCTGGGGACTGCGGAGCGCCTGCCCTCTTTGCCCGGGGTGACGGCCAGGCCGCGCCGCAACGACTGCGGCACGGGCAGGCCAGACCAGGAGGAAGAGGAGGACGAGGAGACGCAGCAGCAGCCGTCAGGCAGCGGCCAGGCGTCCTGCTGTGCCTGCGGGCCTGCCAGAGCATGCTCTGCGAGCCGCTTGGGGTCTGCACGGGGTGCTCTCAGAGCAGTGTTGGCCGAGGCCGTGTTGTTTTTAAAGGCATCGGGCGTCCGTTCTACGAACGGTGTTTTTGATATTACGCATGTGGTTGTTCCACGAACTTCTGTGGTACGGTTACAGGAATGCCCTTGGCATCGCTCGGACGTGTGCATTTTTCCTTCGGCGAGGGCCATCGAGGAGCATCCTTGATCACTTGGCGAAAAAAACACGCACGAAACCGAACAAAACACGGGGAATGGACGTCCGAGCGATGGCGAGTGCCAGGGCGGTCCGTCCCTGCTCAAAGCAGGAGCGGCAAGGCGGCGGCTGGAGCAGGGCTCGCCAGACGGCGGACCCCTTTTGCTCTTTGCCGGGCCAACGGGCGCACTGCGGTGCCATGTGGCCACACTGGCGATGCATCTCTTACCAGCCTGGGACATATTCCTGTCCCTATGCTGGGCACCTCCTCATCACGATGCCAATCTTAGGGATTCCCTTATTTTTTGAGGGCGAATCCCTAAGAGGGCGTGTCAATCTTAGGGATAGGGATACGTTCGAGGCTGGTAAATCTCGGGCCAACATTGTAGCCCTGAGATTTGCTTCCGGCTGAACAGGGGCTTGCGAGATCCCCAGGCAGCAGGGTCTGGCCGTGCCGATGTCCAAGACGGGTGGGGCAAGTTGTGTGGCATAAGCTATGTCGTGCACTGTACGCGGTGCAAAGCTAGGTAGTGCAAATACAATAAGTGGCGTAGCCTACGTGGTGCGACCAGCGTGGTGCACCGTGCACCCATTCGTACGCACCCAGCGCTCGTGTCGCCCACGAGGCGAAAACGGGCGGCCATTGGCGGCCACCGCGCGCAAACGATCCCACCGCACAGGGCACCCAAGTGGTGCCCGCGGCCCACGTGCAGCCACTCCGCGAAAGCCACGGCACCCTCGCAACTACTCAAGACAACATCTAGGGCCATCTTTAGAGCAAACGCTGTCTGGCGAACTGCCGAAGTCTCGTCGCCCAAGCACCTTCTGCAACTCAAGTGTCTGTTCGCCCGCACGTCTAACTCTGCAACCCGCCAACCATTAAATTCACATGGTAGTCCACATCCACGCCAACAGCTGCAACCCATAGTTTTCCCCGACCATCCTGTGGTGTTGGGTCCTTGTTTTGAAGAGACAGCGCCCCGCGTCTGCTCTTCCTCTCCTCCCCTCGGCCCTCCTCCTCCTCCTCCTCATCCTCGCCCTCCTCCCATCCTTGCCTCTGCCCTCTCATGACTCTGTTTCGGCACACCCCGCACACGTTTTGTGGGCCCATGGGAAGCTCCGCCGAAGGCCCCAGGTGCCTTGGTTCGCCTGCGGCTCCACCCCCATATCGGCATACCGCTTGCATGTTTCGTGGCCCCACGGGGAGCTTCACCGAAAGCCCCAATAGTAGGCTTCGCATGCTGCTCCCCCATACAGTGCGGCACACCCCTCGCACGTTTCGTGGCCCCGACGGGAACTCCACCGAAGGCCGCAGTGGCAATGTTCGCATGCGGTTCCACCCCCATGCCGGGACGCAGTAGCAGGGTTCGCATGCGGTTCTGCCCCCATTGACGCGCACCCTTCGCACGCGTCGTGGCCCCACAGGGAATCCCACCGAAGGCCCCAGTGGCAGGGTTCGCACGCGGCTCCACTCCCATTTCGGCACATCCCTCGGACTTTTCGTGGCCCCACAGGGGTCGGGGGTGGGTGCTCCACCGAAGGCCTCAGCGGCAGGATTCGCATGCAGTTCGGCCCCCCTGTCGGCGCACCCCTCACACGTTTTGTGGTCCCTAGGGAGCTCCATCGGAAGCCCCAGTGGCAGGGTTCGCATGCGGCTCCGCCCCAGTTCATGGCACACCCCTCACACTGCCCCATAGGTGGCCCCATGGTGGGTTTCGCATGCAGTTCCCCACAAGTTTCGTGGCCCAAGGGTGATCTCGACCGAAGGCCTCAGTGGCAGGGTTCGCATATGCTTCGTGCCCCCGTGGGGAGCTTCGCCGACGGCAATATTCACAACGGCGGTACTCACAATTCCAGATGGTTGGTTCCGTCGCCAGGATAAGTTCATTCACAAGCCAAGTTCTGCAATCCAGCATGTCCACACCAAGCCGCCGAACTCTTCAGCCTAAATGTTATCGCCCAGTCGCCGAACAATACCGCCAAGACAATCATCGCACAGCACCCTAGCACTGTACTCAAAGTATCCTCATCCACCCGCCTGGCACGTCAGCCCGCATATTATGATGACCCATCAACTTAAACTACCCACAGAATCTGTTCCCAGCCGCTCAGCACTGCAACTCCGAAGCCCCACTTGCCCACAACAAACTGCAGCCACTATGGCCCACCCCCCGTAGCCTGTTTTGGCTCAGGTTCGTTTCTCGAGTCGGCCTTCGCATTCGCCGATCTTTCAGGATTGCCCACACTCCTCTGCACACCCGCGCACTCGCGCCCGGACAAGATGATGCCCACTCGGGCGTTGCCGCTGATCGCATGCATGCTTGCCCTCGCCCGCGGAGCGACCTTCGACAGCGAGGGCTTCGACAGCTTCGATACCGAGACAATGCAGCTCTCCATTGGAAAGGGGCCCCGTCCGCAAGCGCGCCAAATACTTCGGCATCTTGGGATGACACCGTCCTCGAACAGCACGAACGAGTCATGCCTGAACGAGACCATCCCGTGGCTCCAGATCGGTTTCGCCATGGACTGCACTGGCAGTACTGGCGCGTACCTCGAGGCGCTGAAGACGACGGTCTACAACCTGGCGGTTGATTTCAATGCATCGGTAAATTTGTTGCAGATGGCGTTCTTGTGCTACCGTGACGAGGGCGATGTGAGCCCGCCCCGCTATGAGTGGGCAGTGCACCCTAGTCCAGGTGAACACTGGTTCTCTGACCCCGACGCGCTGCACCTCGCGATCGCCCCATTCATTTCATCGGGCGGCGGCGACTCTCCAGAGGACAACGCCGGCGCGATGGGGGAAATGAAGAACGAGAAGCCGTGGGACGCAAGCGCTGTGAAGATCATGATGGTGATCTCGAAGGACAGGGATTCCTACAGGACACCGTACCAGACCGATGCCCTTCAGTGCCAGCTCATGCAGGACATCAGGGCTGCCAACATCACCTTGGTCCTCGGGCACCTCGACACCAGCACGACCAGCTCGATGCTGTGGGACTCAACGTACAAACCGACCCTGCCTTGGCGAGGGTGCTACGCGGACCCCTCCGATCCTCACCAGTTGAAGGAGATCCAGTTCATGGGCGCCACCGCCAGTGAGTTCAGCGCCCTACTGATCGAGGAGATCTGCGACACTCTGTCTTCGGATCCAGGCGTCGGGCACGACGTCGGCGGACATGGCGACCCGCACCTCGTCAACATGCACGGCGAACGCTTCGACATCATGCGCCCCGGCAGGTACTCGCTCCTCCACATCCCCCTCAAGGCGGACGAGAAAGACGTGCTCCTCTCGGCGCGCGCAGACGTGCTCCGCATCGGGACAGCCTGTGGGGATATGTACTTCACGTCGATCAACATCACCGGACAGTGGGCACGCGGGCACAAGAACACCAGCTTCATCGCGGGTGCCGCGCCGCCTCGGACGACAACGGGCTGGGTGCGGTACGGCCACCGTGTCTCGTTGAAGGTAGTGCACGGGTTGACAGGCAGCGGCACCCGGTATTTGAACATCTTCGCGAAAGATGTGCACCGCGCAGGGCATAAGGTAGGAGGCCTTCTAGGCGCGGACGATCACACGAAGGCCTCGACCGAGGAAACCGGGTGTCAGAAGCTCATGGCATTGTAGCCGTTTTAAGGCAGTAAAGTGATTATGGTGCCCGGTTTGATGTCAATAGCAAGCTCCGCTCGGGTGGGCTTGCTCTTCGGAAGCTTGGTGAGCACAGACAGTGAGGCCTTTTTTGAGAGGTGGGCAGTTTAAAAACGCCTGGGCCCACCGGCACTCAGAAACCCGTTGCTCATGCATCCAGCTTCCTGCAAAAAATCACCCGCCCACCTGAAATTGCAAGCCAACGAACCCTCGCGCACCCACCAAGAATTGCCACCTAGAAGTCGTCACCCATCAACATCCAAATGCAACCAACAGAATCCGAACCCGCTTAAGAATACCGACCGCAAGTCCCCACTCACCCGCCCCATCTTTCAACCCAGTACCCCTTCCGAACTTCCGCCCGAGCATTACAACGCGATGTATCTTCACGAGCCCGCCTAAGATTGCAGCGTAGGCATCCTCCGTCACCAGCCTGGCAGCGCAACCCATATATATATGTATATATGTATGTATCCTCACCTACTTGCTCAATGGTGTAGCCCATATATTTCCACCCGGTCCCAATTACTGCAACCCATACCTCCGCGTCTACCCCCTCAGGCCTGCAACCCACGCGTCCCCGTCCATCCTCTTACAGTGTGAACGAACGCTGCAACCGAAATTACCCTGGCCAGCCTGCCCAAAACTGCAACCTTTGCCCCCCCACCCCCGCGGATGAGATTGCCATCGAGCGGCCCTGGTGAACCGAGTCAGGGATCCACTTCCTTCTCCAGAGAGACGTCAGATATGGTATCGGATGCGCAGGCGTGCCCCGCGCTGCGTGAGTGAACAGAAGAATGTGGCGTGATACAGGGGGCGCTGCGAAGCGACATCCGATAAGTGAGGAGCAGGGCTCGAGCTGAACGGTGTTGTGGCGATTCCGTGGACCGTCTTCGTTTCGATTTCGTTTCGCGGCAGAGGCAGAACGAAGACGGGGCGAGGGACAACCAAAAAGAAACGATATTGCAACACACTGATGGGCCCCGAGCCCTGATACGGAGTACAGTCGGGCCGCTGAAGAAGGAACCCTTGTCGTTGGGGAGTGGTTCCGCGTTCCTTGATGGTGTTGCAGTTTGTCTGCGGTGTTCCTTGGGTTCTCTTTCTCTGGGAAAGCGAAGTCTAACCGCTGGAACAAAAAGAGCCTCGCTGCGCTTCGACTGTACCGTCGGGAGGAGAGGAGACCGGGCCGGGGCCCGGAGTGGGCGGGGAAGAGCGGGCGGGGAGGCGAGGGAGGCGAGGGCAGCCATCACGAGAACCGCTTGGGCCTCCGAGGAGCAGCGCGTCCCGCGCCTGCTGCTCTCTCGTTTCCAGATGGAGAGTAGCAGCAAGAGGAGCAAGTGATCGTCAGCCTCCCAGAGCTATGGGAAAACGGATGGGAGTTGTGTGCATCCATTTGGGTGTCCCTGGGCCTCTTCCTTGAGTTCGCCTGCGCTGGGCCCGATCTTCGGCGGCGGCTTCGAGCGGCCTCGGCGAACCCCCCCCCTCGTCCCCCTCCCTCCTCCCCCCTGCCCCCCTCTGGTTGTGCCGCCCCCTCTGGACCTGCGTCTGCGGACACAGGCGCCCGCGACAGTCCTCCATCTCCCCTCCCCTTCATCCCTTCATCCCCTCTTGCCTCTCACCCCTTCCACGCTTCCTCTCTCGTCCATCCTCCCCTCTCGCCTTGCCGCCTCCCCATCTTACCTCCCGTCCCTCTTGCCGCCCGCTCCGACTGCTCCACGTCCAGGTCTTCCTGCGTGCCGCGCAACTCTGGCGCGGTGGCTCTGGAGGCCAGGAGAAGGAAGCGAATAACGAGGGGAAGGAGGAGGAGGAGGAGGAGGAGAAGGAGGAGGAGGAGGAGGGGGAGGAAGAGGAGGAGGAGGAGGAGGAAGAGGAGGAGGAGGAGGACGAGGAGGAGGCGGAGGAAGAGGAGGTTGAGAAGGAGGAGGATCGCGGGTTGGGGCGGCCTTGTTCGGGCCTTCGGGGGCCCTCGAGGCCTCCAGGTGGGCGCAGGAGAACGGCGGGCACGCGCGCTGGGCATTTGCCCCGTTGCCAGGGCCCCGCTGGGGACTGCGGAGCGCTTGCCTCCTGCCTGGGGTGTCGGCCAGACCGCTCCCCAGCGACTGCGGCACGGGCAGGCCAGACCAGGAGGAGGAGGAGGAGGAGGAGGACGAGGAGGCGTAGCAGCAGCTGTCAGGCAGCGGCCAGGCGTCCTGCTCTGCCTGCGGGCCTGCCAGAGCATGTTCTGCGAGCCGCTTGGGGTCTGCACGAGGTGCTCTCAGAGCAGTGTTGGCCGAGGCCGTGGTGTTTTTAAGGCATCGGGCGTCCGTTCTACGAACGGTGTTTTTGGTATTACACACGTTGTTGCTCGACGAACCTCTGTGGTAGGGTTATATTACCAGCCTCGAACGTATCCCTATCCCTAAGATTGACACGCCAAAAGGCGATGACAATCTTAGGGGTTCGCCGTCAAAAAATAAGGGAACCCCTAAGATTGGCATCGTGATGAGGAGGTGCCCAGCATAGGGACAGGGATATGTTCCAGGCTGGATCTGCCGACGTCTCGTCGCCCAAACACTTACTGCAACTCAAATGTCTGTTCGCCCGCTCGTCTAACTCTGCAACCCGCCAAACATGGAAATTCACATGGTATTCCACATCCACGCCAACAGCTGCAATTCATAGTTTTCCCCGACCATCCTGTGGTGCTGGGTCCTCGTTTTGAAGAGAAAGCGCCCCGCGTCTCCTCTTCCTCTCTTCCTCCCCTCGGCCCTCTTCCTCCTCCTCGCCCTCCTCCTCCCATACTTGCCTCTGCCCTTTCATGTCTCTGTTTCGGCACACCCCGCACACGTTTTGCGGGTCGATGGGAAGCTCCGCCGAAGGCCCCAGTGGCATGGTTCGCCTGCGGGTCCACCCCCATATCGGCATACCGGTCGCATGTTTCGTGGCCCCATGGGGAGCTCCGCCGAAGGCCCCCATAGGAGGCTTCGCATGCTGCTCACCCTACAGTGCGGCACATCCCTCACACGTTTCGTGGCCCCAACGGGAATTCCCATGAAGGCCGCAGTGGCAGTGTTCGCATGCGGTTCCATCCCCATTCCGGGGACGCAGTAGTAGGGTTCGCATGCGGTTCTGCCCAGATTGCGGCGCATCCCTCACACGCGTCGTGGCCCCACAGGGAATCCACCGAAGGCCCCAGTGGCAGGTTTTGCACGCGGTTACACTCCCATATCGGCACATCCCTCTGACTGTTCGTGGTCCCACAGGGGGGGACTCCACCGAAGGCATCAGCGGCAGGGTTCGCATGCGGTTCTGCCCCCATGTCGGCGCACCCCTCAGACGTTTTGTGGTCCCATAGGAGCTCCACCAGAGTCCCCAGTGGCAGGGTTCGCACGCGGCTCCGCCCCAATTCATAACACACCCCTCACACTGCCCCAGAGGGAGCTCCACCGACGGCCCCAATGGTAGGATCCGCATGCAGGTCCCCACAAGTTTCGTGGCCCAAGAGTGAGCTCGACCGAAGGCCGCAGTTGCAGGCTTCGCATGCGCTTCGTGCTCCCGTGGGGAGCTTCGCCGAAGGCAATATTCACAATGGCGGTACTCACAATTCCAGATGGTTGGTTCCGTCGCCAGGATAAGTTCATTCACAAGCCAAGTTCTGCAATCCAGCATGTCCGCACCAAGCCGCCGAACTCTTCAGCCCAAATGCCATCGCCCACTCGCCAAACAATACCGCCAAGACAATCATCGCACAGCACCCTATCACTGTAATCCAAGTATCCTCATCCACCCGCCTGGCACGTCAGCCCGCATATTATGATGACCCATCAACTTTTCTATCCACATAATATTAGCCCAGCCGCTCAGCACTGCAACTCCTCCGAAGCCCCGCTTGCCCACAACAAACTGGAGCCACTATGGCCCACCCCTCCGTAGCCTGTTTTGGCTCAGGTTCGTTTCTCGAGTCGGCCTTTCAGGATTGTCCACGCTCCTCTGCACACCCGCGCCCTCGCGCCCGGACAAGATGATGCCCACTCGGGCCTTGCCGTTGATCGCATGCGTGCTTGCCAGCGCCCGCGGAGCGACCTTCGACAGCGAGGGCTTCGACAGCTTCGACACCGAGACGATGCAGCTCTCCATGGGGAAGAGGCCCCGTCCGCAAGCGCGCCAGATACTTCGGCACCTTGGGAGCACGCCGTCCCCGAACGGCACGAACGAGTCATGCCTGAACGAGACCATCCCGTGGCTCCAGATCGGTTTCGCCATGGACTGCACTGGCAGTACTGGCGCGTACCTTGAGGCGCTGAAGACGACGGTCTACAACCTGGCGGTCGATTTCGATGCATCGGTAAACTTCCTGCAGATGGCGTTCCTGTGCTACCGTGACGAGGGCGATGTGAGCCCGCCCCGCTATGAGTGGGCAGTGCACCCTACTCCAGGTGAGCACTGGTTCTCTGACCCCGACGCGCTGCAGCTCGCGATCGCCCCATTCATTTCATCGGGCGGCGGCGACTCTCCAGAGGACAACGCTGGCGCGATGGGGGAAATGAAGAACGAGAAGCCGTGGGACGTAAGCGCCTTGAAGATCATGATGGTGATCTCGAAGGACAGGGATTCCTACAGGACACCGTACCAGACCGATGCCCTTCAGTGCCAGCTCATGCAGGACATCAGGGCTGCCAACATCACTCTGGTCCTCGGGCACCTCGACACCAGCACGACCAGCTCGATGCTGTGGGACTCAACGTACAAACCGACCCTGCCTTGGCGAGGGTGCTACGCGGACCCCTCCGATCCTCACCAGTTGAAGGAGATCCAGTTCACGGGCGCCACCGCCAGTGAGTTCAGCGCCCTACTGATCGAGGAGATCTGCGACACTCTCTCTTCAGATCCAGGCGTCGGGCACGACGTCGGCGGACATGGCGATCCGCACCTCGTCAACATGCACGGCGAACGCTTCGACATCATGCGCCCTGGCAGGTACTCGCTCCTCCACATCCCCCTCAAGGCGGACAAGAAAGACGTGCTCCTCTCGGCGCGCGCAGACGTGCTCCGCATTGGGACAGCCTGTGGGGATATGTACTTCACGTCGATCAACATCACCGGACAGTGGGCACGCGGGCACAAGAACACCAGCTTCATCGCGGGTGCCGCGCCGCCTCGCACGACAACGGGCTGGGTGCGGTACGGCCACCGTGTCTCGTTGAAGGTGGTGCACGGCGTGACAGGCAGCGGCACCCGGTATTTGAACATCTTCGCGAAAGATGTGCACCGCGCAGGGCATAAGGTAGGAGGCCTTCTAGGCGCGGACGATCACACGAAGGCCTCGACCGAGGAAACCGGGTGTCAGAAGCTCATGGCATTGTAGCCGCTTTAAGCAGTAAAGTGATTCTGGTGCCCGGTTTGATGTCAATAGCAAGCTCCGCTTGGGTAGGCTTGCTCTTCGGAAGCTTGGTGAGCACAGACAGTGAGGCCTTTTATAGAGGTGGGCATTTTAAAAACACCTGGGCCCACCGGCACTCAGAAACCCGTTGCTCATGCATCCAGCTTCTTGCAAAAAATAATCACACGGCCGAGGCTTTGTGCGGAGCGGCACAGGAAGCCACGTGGCCAGTTCAAGTCAAGGGGGGTGCAGGGTTGACCTCCGCCCCTCGGAGAGAGGACGGCGGAGTCCAGCGGAGGTCAAACGAGGACGGCCCCGCTGGCGAAAGCTCGGCAAGAGTTCGACGAACGCCCTTGGAACTCCCGTGCAGCAGTACCCATAACTATCGCACGGGGCTAGGACGAGGACAAATACGTTCCAAAGCGTTTTGGAACGCTCTCAGAGCGTTCCGGAACGCTCGCAGAAGGCCGTGGCGCCCGATATATCCTCCAGAGATTGCCAGATCTCACAGATTCTCGATTTATCCGCACCCGATGTTGTCTTCGTCCTAGCTCCGTCTTAGACTTATCGATTCTCAGTGAGACCCTACGACCTGGGCGAGAGCTGAATGATGCATGCGCGCCCGTTCCCAAGCGAGTAGTGTGTAGGGTGCGTAGGGTGCGTAGATTGCCCCAGCATTCGGCAGGATGCAGTTCATATTCCTCTTCTACGATGTGAACCGCAACGGGCTCCTGGAGATCGAGGAGCATCCGAGACGGCAGGGAGGGGGCACAGGAGTTGCTTCTGCAGGAGGGAGGTCAGGGCGAGGGGCTTGCGACGTGTTCATGTTTCTTTCAGCGGGGACAATCGAGGAGCATCCTGGATCATTTGGCGAAGAAAACACGCACGAAACCGAAACAAACACAGGGAATGGGCGTCCGAGCGATGGCCAGAGGGGGTCAAAAGGTGCCTTCATCCACGGCTTGCGAGCAAGCATCTGACGATCCGTTCCTCTTCTGCGGCCAGGGGCCGAAGGAATGAACTCCTTTCTCCGTCGCCTTGAGCCATGCTGCTGCTGCAGGTGCAGGAGAAGGAGAAGGAGGGGGGGGGCTGCCTCGGGGGCCTTGCTGGGCAGTCTTGGGGCCTCTCGGGGGCGGCGGTGTTTGAGGCCTCCCTCCGCGGGCAGGGGAGCATTCCTCGTCTTCTCCCCCTTCTCTTAAGTCGGGCCTGTCCCCCTACAGGGCGATTTGCGACGAATAATACAAAATACCCAAAGAAACCAAACAAATAATGCAAAAATAGTCTGGGTATTTTTGATTGTTCGTCGAAGATCCCCCTGTAGGGGGGCACGCCCGACATAACCCTTCTCTTTGTCCTCGCCCAGGCAACGGCCTTCCTCTTCCTCCGTTTCCTCCTCCTTTTTTGACGCTGCGCTGACTCAAGGACAGAGCCGGTAGCGTTAGGGCGCCCCATAATGCATCGGGTGCCGACCGAGGCCGAAAGCTAACCGGTTGAGCCTGGCGGGCGCAGCAGCAACGTGAGAGGGCCCTGAAGGGCACGGAGCATGCGCCCGCCAGGGCGCGCGTACCATTACCAGCCTGGAACATATCCCTATCCCTATGCTGGGCACCTCCTCATCACGATGCCAATCTTAGGGATTCCCTTATTTTTTGAGGGCGAATCCCTAAGATTGTCATCGCCTTTTGGCGTGTCAATCTTAGGGATAGGGATACGTTCGAGACTGGTAATACCAGAGATGACCACGACAGCATACCAGACGCGCGTAGTACCGCCACATGGGAGGACAGCGAACGAGGAAGACAAACTCAAGCTGCAGGGGGTCTGGCGCAGAGGCTGCTGTAAGAAGCTGTATCCCACCCCGACCCATGGGCAAGTCGTAACCCCCCCCGCCACCTCCAGGAAATCAAGATAACAAGCGTTGTAAATCGTGAATTCCCCAATCAGTGTTCTCACTGAAGGAGTCCTTGAGAGATTTGGCGAAAGTACCGGGCCGATTTCGGTGGGCGGCTGGGTTCCCGGGTTCCCGGTTCCGGGTTCCCCGGTTCCCAGTTTCTTGTTCCGGGCCGATTTCGATGGGCGGCAGGGTTTAGTGGGCGGCAGGATTTCAGGGGTTTAAATTTTTGGGTCCCAGGTTTGCGGGTTCCCGGTCGATCTCTTGATCGATATCATTTTCGTTCTCACCAACCATCTCATTCAATCGATCTCACTATCGATCTCATTACCGATCTAATTCTCGATAACATTATCGATCTTGTTTTCGATCTCAATGTCGATCACATTACTCATATTGCCATCGATCTCACGAACGAGCTCCCGATCGATCTCACGATCCCCCATCACAATATGTCTCATTATCAATGTAATCATCGATGTCGTTGTCGATCTCTTAATCGATATCACTATTAATTTCCCTATCGATCTCACAATCGATCTCACTCAATCCGTACCACCATCTATACCACTATCGAAGACACGATCGATCTCTCGTTCGCTTTCACTATCGATCCCACTTAATCGATAGCCCTATCCATTTCACTGTCTATCTCACTATCGATCCTGGTATCGATCTCTCTATCGATCTATCTCAATGGACCTCATTACCAATCCCACTGTCGATCTCACCATCGATCTCACTTGCGATCTCATTACATTGATCTCAGTATCGTTCGCACTATCCATCGCACTATCGCTAGCATGACATTGCGTAGTATATAACGTAGCATGGGACACCCGCGCGCCACGGGACACCATGGGACATCATCGGGACATATCCGGGACACCAACGGGACACCATCGGGACACCACAGGGCCTTCGTTGGCCAACCCTTGGGAGAGTATTGGTTGGTTCGGCTTCGCCTTGGCAACGGCGAGTTCATTATTCTCGCCCGCCCACATAGCTTCGCATCGCCCGCACGCGCGACATGACCGTGAATCCGAAGCCAATATCCCAGTGGGGGGGTCTCCGTTTCACTGCGACCTCACCCCCCAAATGTCCGTACGCATTGAGAGATGGAGAGAAAGAGAGAGAGAACCAAACAACTATGGTACATGAATGAGAGAGGCGGGGTAGAGAGAGTGAGAGAGACATAAAGAGAACGTGCGTGTAGGTACGTATATTTGTGTATATGTGTACGTGCACTGGAAGAGAGAACGAGTAATTCACACATTTATGTATTTACACATGTGTAGAGGGAATGCGCTATAAAGAAAGAGAGAGAGAGAGAAAGAAAGAACGAGAGAGACACCAAATAAAGGGAGGGAGAGAGAAAGAGAGAGAGAGAGAGGCTAGTAATAGAGAGAGAAGCCTAACATAACTAGACTGGACTAAGACGTATATTTGAATTCGACTAGGGCATGAGGAAGGCCGATTGAGGCACCTGCGAAAACTTGTAAAGTCCATCGGTTCGGGTTTCCTCTGGTGTCATGCGTTAGAGCAGGCTGCGTGAGAACACAAGAAAATGCAGTCAACGTGCATTATATGGTGAGTCTGGCAGTGTAGATCGGCCTACGGGTACTAGTCCCTCCCCCACCCCATCCTCCTCAGAATCGCGTCCTCCACCGAAGTAAAGTCAAGGTGACAATATAACAGGCGACGGTTGAGAGAGGTAAATAAAGTTAGGGCTGGCGCTGTCAGTAAAGGTTGGCCCAGGGTCTCCAATAAAGTTTGACGCTCGGTGATTGTGAAGCTTAAATGCTTAAATGCCCTGGGGCCAGCTCCCTGGCGTCCAAGGGGGCGTGGAATGCGTGGTGCTCCTCCCCCGTCGCCACCAACCCCCCAAACCCTTGCCTCCAACGTACACGTATTGTAGCAGTTGTGGGCAGGGGTTGACAGATATAACGTGCATTTGGCTTGTCGGTTAATACGCGCATCAACAGGTTAAGGTGTTGGCAACTAGAATTCGATGGATTGGCGTGAGAGAGGACAACGAGTGCATGATGTTGGGTATTAGGCGAGATGTTGAGCCTGATGAGTCAACACCTGATGTAGAGTAGAGGCTTGTGAGCGTAGGACGATGGCGCTGTGTAATTCGGCACTGTATGTGCTGATGTGTTTGTGGTGCGCAGTCAAGGGAGGAGAGGCCAGAGGCCCGGCGGAGCGGGAACGGACGGAGGAGAGGGGAGGGACGAGCGGCAGCAGGGGGGGTCAGTGACTGAACACACGTGTTGCGCGTACGCGAACGGTAGAGGCAGTGGCGTTGGTATTAAAGGCGACGGCAATGCGCGAGAAGCTCATGTAGAAACGAGACTGGCGAAACTCGGCAGCATGCTTGGAGGAACGCAATTGGACCGCAACCGCTGAATGGTGCACGCCAGCGCAGACACATGCAGGGCGAAAGTAAATTGAGGAGAAGAGAGGAGAGGAGGATCCGTAATCCTTGCACTGGCGGTACCTGATGTACAAGAGGTCATCCAGGTGGAAGTTGGGGGCACAAACTGGCCCCCGTTCTCCCCACCATCTTGTCACTCGGCAGTTGGTGTTCTGAGAGCCGTTGCGGTGGAAGGTATGAGGGCGTAGGCAGTCCCACGTGTCCACCGTAGTTACGCCGTGTGGGGTGACCTATCCTCTTGGATGTCACCGTACCTGTACAGATGAGGGTTTTGTGGGAGTCAGTCTTCTACCCCAGTAGTCTCCACCATCTGCTTGTTGGACAGGGACCCTTGGTTTAGCAGTTGGTGGAGATGTGTGGCATTGCCTCGGGAACTTGGGCTTGGGCATAGTCGATGCTTCCATTGCTGTCGCAAATTCGTGTCGTTGCTGTGATTATGCGTTGCGTAGGCTGCGTTGCCATATTCTTTCCAGGTGCTGTTGTTACTGGTGTTGGTGGTTCCGAATAGTGTCCATGTATTGCAGGCATCGTTGGTCGCTGCTGTTATGTACGTGCACTGTTTCTGTATGTCCAGCGTGTTGGGGTATCGGTGTTGAGTCCGTGTGTCAGTTTTGTAGGTTGGTATGTCGTGCTTTTGGGCGAAAGTACGCTTGGAGGGTCGCGAATGTCTGTGGTGCTAGCTCTGTTGTTGATATATTGGTGAGCCAGAGCTGTGTTGCTGCTGCTTTGGCAGGTGGACAGGTCACTGGGATCTTGAGTCTTGGCGGGGGTTGGGTGAAGCCGATTTCGTATCAATCTGGTGATGTTTGTATGCTGCTATGTAAGTAAACGATTGTGTGTTGGTTGTTGGATTGGCGTGATCGTAACGTTTGGTTGTGTAGCTCGGCCGTATTGTGGAGCAGGTTGTGGTGTGTCGCCTGGTTTGTGGTCGCTGTCGGTGGAGCTTGGTGTGGATGATGCGGGAGAGGCTGTAGTCCTTGCGGTCATTTGTATTGTAGGGAATAGCACTATGATTGCCGATGTGTTGTAGGAGCTGCGTTGTGCAGTATGTATATATATATATAGATTGATTGAATGCCCCGTTATACTTCATGTCGTTGTTGTAGTCGTGGCAAGAGTGTGGCTATGTTGATTATGTGGTGATGGCTTGCTTGGTTGTGTTGTACGATGGTATCGTAGGCGTGCTGAGGCAGGTTGAGAAGTGTCTGTTGTCGGTTAGGTTGACTGCTCGTCTGAAGTCTCCGTTTTGCTTGTAGTGCAGTGCAAAGTGTTGTCGGCTTCGTCCTAGCTCTCTTCGTTATACGCCGTCTAGTCGAAGTCGCGGTGGTGGAAGGTGTGTGTGTGTCTGCCGGCTTGGCCTCTCTGAGTATTAGGCATGATGTTGGCTCCGTGGTAGGGAGTCGGAAGGTTGATAGTCGCGTAGCGTTTGCGTCTGGTGTGAGCGGTGGATTCGGCAGAACGTACGGGTATGTGTTGTCGATGAAGGATTCTCGGTTGTATGTGTCAAGGTGCTTGCGCCATCTAGCCAATAGCAGATGGTCGTTGGGGAAGCGGTGCGTATAAGTGTTGTCAGTACCTTTGTCGTATACTGCGTAGTGCCAGCTATCCTCGTCGTTGTCTTCGTCGCTGGAGTCGTTCTTGGCACTGTACGCTTTCCAGCATTGTAGACGGTGTACGTCATGTCGTTGTCTGGGTGGTAATGCTGGTAGTGTAAAGGGCTTCGGAATGCGACCCCGGTGTCTTGATAGGGGTTCGGGATGGAATTGAACAACACGATAATCACTGGAATTCCTGATTCCAACCCTCCTGTGGTGTTGGGTACTCGGTTTGAAGAGACAGCGCCCCGCGTCCTCACTCCCGCTGCCCCCTTCCTCCTCTCATAATCGTCATCGTCATCACCCGTTTCAAAACACCACTCACACGTTTCGTGGCCCCACAGGGAGCCCTCACGGAAGGCCCCAGTGGCACCGTCCACATGCGTCCGCCAAACAAAATTTTTGCACACCCCTTGCACGTTTCAGTGCCCCATTGGGAGCTCCACCGAAGGCCCCAGTTCCATCGTCCACATGCGTCCGCCACCCATATCGGCACACCCCGCACACGTTTCGCGGCCCCATCGGGAGATCCACCGAAGGCCCCAGTAGCAATGTCCACATGCGTCCGCCGCACTCATTTCGGCACATCCCTTACACGTTGTCTCCCCATAGGGATCTCCACCGAAGGCCCCAGTAGCACCGTCCACATGCGTCCGCCACACCCATTTCGGCACACCGCTCTCATGTTTCGTGGCCCCATAGAGAGCTCCACCCAAGGCCCCAGGAGCACCGTCTGCATGCGTCCACCACACCCATTTCGGCACAGCACTCACACGTTTCGTGGCCTCAAAGGTAGCTCCACCGAAGGCCCCAGTGGCACCGTCTACGTGCGTCCGCCACACCCATTTCGGCACACCGCTCTCATGTTTCGTGGCCCCATAGGGAGCTCCACCTAAGCCCCAGTGGCACCGTCCACATGCGTCCGCCACACGAAATTATGACACACCCCTCACACGTTTCGTGGCCCCATCGGGAGCTTCACCGAAGGCCCCAGTAGCAATGTCCACATGCGCCCGCCGCACTCATTTCGGCACATCCCTTACAGATTTCGTTTCCCCATAGGGAGGGTCACCGAAGGTCCCAGTAGCACTGTCCGCCACAGCCATGTCGGCACACCACTCAGATGTTTCGTGACCCCAAAGAGAGCTCCACCGAAGTCCCCAGTAGCATCATCCGCATGCGTCCGCCACATCCATGTCGGCACACCCCTCACACGATTCGTGGCCCCATAGAGCCCCACCCAAGGCCCCAGTAGCACCGTCCACTTGCGTCCCCCACACCCATTTCGGCACACCCCTCGCATGTTTCGTGGCCCCATTGGGAGCTCCACCTAAGGCCCCACTGCCACCGTCCACATGCGTCCCCCTATCTATTTCGGCGCACCCCTCACACGTTTCGTGGCCCTAGTGGGAGTTCCACCCAAGGCCACAGTGGCACCGTCCACATGCGTCCGCCAAACAAAATTTTGGCACACCCCTCACACGTTTCGGTGCCCTATTGGGAGCTCCACCGAAGGCCCCAGTTCCATCGTCCACATGCGTTCCCCGCACCCTTTCGGCACAGCCCTCGGACGTCTGCGGTGCTGATCCGATCGCCATTTCGGCGCCCCTCGGCACTCAATTCGATCATACGCACGACCGCGGTGCTCACAGCTGCATATGGCTGGGTCCTTCGCAGGGCCAAGTTTCAAGTGAGGCCTCTGGACATACAGTGCGCAGGAAATGGGAGGGGCCCGGGAGGCGTGCAGAGGGCTCCTGGGAGGCAGTTTGGACGCCTCTGGGGGGGCTGTTTTGGGGCCACTTCGTGGCCTCTTCGGGGCTCCTTGGGGGCCTTGTCGGGCTCTTTGGGGGACTCTTGGAGCCTCCTGGGGGCCTCTTGGAGCGGAGAGCCGGGATTGTCGATTTGCGTCCCCCTGGCTGGGCGGCTTTTCGGGCCATCTTGGGGCTCTCTTGGGCTGCCTCGGGGCGCTCTTGGGCCGTACTTCCTTCGCAGCCGTTGACGAAGCGGCTGCGTTCAGGGTGCTCTGGGTTTCCCCTCGGGTGCACCTCGCGCGCTGGTTTTCAGGGTTGGGTTTCTCGCGAGGGTTTCTTGCGGCCGAGCCCGCACTGTAAGAGCTGCGCGGGCCGGTGCAGCAGAGGCATTCACCAGTTCCTTTAGACTTGTTGTGTGTGGGCAGCCCATGTCGTGCAATTCGTGGAGGCCACCTGGCCGTCTTTGAGGCTATTTCAGTCCATCGGGGCTGTGTGTACTTAGCATGTGGAGTTCATGCAGCTGCTAGCGCTAGCATGATGCCGCATATCTTGATTGAAAGAAACCCATCGTTCCGAGTTGTTTTCATGTTTGTGGCAGTTGTTGCTCCCCGTTTGAAGGTGCCGCCGTGGACGAGGCTGGCTCTTGAGGGGGCACGAGCATACGATTTGACCGAGGTGTAAGATCGAGGTTGGCTCTGGGAGGGTACCCTAATGTTCCTCGTGTTTGTTGGATGTTCTTGTGCATCCTGGCGGATGATACCCTCGATTTTTTGTAGTTTGGCTCGCGGAGGTCTCATGATCTTGTAGGACGTTGCGTCTTCGGTCTGACCGCACTGGTTCTTGGAGACGACAGGGCCGGTTTTGGGGTAGCTTTTGGGTTCAGCTGTTTGTCCCTCCGTTTCGGCGCCTGAGCCCTGGCTCCGTGCCGCTTTTTCGGGGGCGGAAAAGAGGAGGGTTGATGACTAGGCGGGGGTTGATATCATGGCGCGGGCCATGATATTTGCCCAGATTTCATGGCGCCTCTTCTTCTTTCATTACGTCCCTGGCCCCCCCCCTGGGCCGCGCACATGCCGCCGGCCATGACTTGCACCCCCCCCTCTTGGACGCCCCCCTCTTGGCCGCCCCCGACTTTTACCGTTCTCATGATCAAGATCCAGATCCTTCGGCAGCTGTGCAGAAGCTGCCCTCACGATCCCCACGACCATTTTGACCGAAACCGATCGTAAGGATGGGTGCCCTGCCTTCGTTAAGACCCTTTCGATGGCCAGCCCCGCCCGAAAAGCTTCGACGCGGGCATCCAAGAGGCCTGCATCCTACACATTATGCGATGCTTAAGAAAGCTTAAGTTTTCGGCCAGAGTCTCGATTATTCTTCACGCTTCAGTGTAATTCTTAAGATATTACTGGGAATGTTGGGCTTTTTATTCAAGTTCTGAGACTATGAATTTCTTAACCCATGATTTCTTAAGCATTTCGCAGGGTGTATCCCTACCGCGCATCTTTACCCTCAGCTTTGACTGCGAGGGTTGGTCCCAGGGCTGGCGCGAGGGAGCTGGCGATGCACGGGGGCCCCGATGCCCGGCGCCAGGGAGGCCAGCTGCGCGAGCCGACTCTCCCTGCCCTCTGCCCTGCCCGGTCCTGCCCTTCTCGTCCCCCCCCCCTCCTCCTCCTCCTCCTCCTCCTCCTCCTCCTCCTCCTCCTCCTCCTCCTCCTCCTCCTCCTCCTCCTCCTCCTCCTCCTCCTCCTGCCCTCCTCGCCCCCCCCGAGAGGAGCTGGCGAAGATGATCGGGCACATCCAGCAGCTGCGCGGCCAGGCGCTGCCCGGAGGCGCCCCCCGGCGCGGGCGCGCGCCCCCGCCAACTGCGCCGCGCGAGGGTGCCGCGAGGCGGCCGCCAGCCTCGGGGGAGACGGAAGGCTCCGGGGGGGGGGGGGGGAAGCGGAGCTGCGGGGGGGGGGCTGCTCTCAGAGGCTCGGGGGCCCCCCCAGCCGGTGTGGCGACCACACCTTAGTGGGCCCTGGAAACGACAGGGCCGTTTTTTACCGGTTCCGTTTTGCTGTTTTTTTGCTGGCTCCGACGCCGTTTTCTTACCGGTTCCGTCGCCGTTTTTTGACCGGTTCCGGCTCCGGCTCCAATCCTGGAGCCGTTTTTTGCTGTTTCCGGTCGCCGTTTTTTTGCCGTTTCCATTTTCAAGGGGCACTTTTTCGAAAACGGTGCAAAAAACGGCCCTGCCGTTTCCGGGGCCCACTAAGCTCGGGGGGCCCCCCAGCCGGTGTGGTGACCGCACCGCGTGGTGAGTCGGGTGGGGCTTCGGGAGTTCCCTCCCCCCGCAGGCTTTGGGGCCCGCGCCGTGCTCCGAGGACGTCTCTCGGGGCTGGGGCCTCCGAGGACCCCCGGGCCGTGCGGCAGCGGGCCCTGCGTGCGGTGGGGCCTCTGCGGAGGTCGAGGTCGCCGCCGGCGTCTGTCACCACACGGTTTGGGGAGCCTTTCTCTGGGGCCCCCTGGGGGCCCTCCCGGACCTCCGAGGACCTTTCGGACCTCCGAGGAGCGATCCTTTCGGACCTCCGAGGAGCGATGTTTGTGCCTTGTCCTGTCCTGCTCTCAGTCGCCCACGGATCTCCGAGGAGGGGCCTGAGAGCCCACCCCGCCCAGCATCACGCGGTATCCAGCCAGATGTTTCCCGCCCCCTGGGCCGCCCCCCCCCCCTCCTGAAGGATGCCCCTCACGTGCCAAGCGAGGCCGCAGCCACACGCTGGGCCTCTCTGCGGCGGCGTGTTCGGCCCCTGAGTGTCGAAGGATGTCGAGCGCCGAAAGGTAGGTGGTAAATCACGGAGGTTTCCGTTCGTCTGCGATCGAATGTACAGCGGCGAGGAGCGCCCGATACGCTCAATGGCGTCATGTAGCGCCCTCTGGTGCCAAGTAGTGCCGAGTAGCGCTGGAGTAGCTTCCAATAGGGACCAGTGGTGCTGGGAGTCGATGAGAGAGCGTCGATTTAGAGTCGGTTAGCATCGATTAGCGTCGATCTGGCGTCGACGAATGTCGATTTAGCGTCGATCAGGGTCGATTCGCAAGAATCGACAAGATGGAAAGGGAGGCTCACATGAGTTGCCACCGAAAGGGGTGCCCACTGGCGCCACCTGGGGGAGATGCAGCACGTCCGCTTTTTGCCCGCGACTGGGCGCGCTGGTGCGCGCCATGGGGACTGCCAGCAGCTTCCTTGCGCCGCTGTCTTACGGTAGGTTCGCGTCGTGCCGACCGGCGGCGACCCCGCCGTCGACCAGCGGCGACGTTGGACGCCGCTGGCGACCCAGAATCGGCCGATGTTGAACGGCCCGACGTCTCGGCAATGGCCGATCTCTCAAGGTTGAACGATCCCCGCGGTGTCAGGAACCAAAGCTGGGGTCGACACGACACAATTTTTTTCTTTTGCGGGGCGAGAGCGAACCTCTTCCGGTGAAAGTTAGGCGGGCTACGCACAGCTCTAATTGGGGAGACAGGGCACAGGCGGGCGGGGCCTCAGGCGGCCGGAGGGCGGGCCGGGGTGCAGGCGGTGCCGACCGAGGAGCTTGCACAGGAAAAGGAACGCCTTGGACAGGAGCCAGAGGCGAAGATCCGGAGGGTGAGCGCGGGTCGACACGACACACAAACCTGCCGTACACATTACGTGTCGCAGGTCCGCGTGGACCTTTTCGGCGGATCCAACGCCGCCCCTGTTGCACCTCGCCTGCCAGGTCAGGTCGGCGGCCGCACCCCCTCCTCCTCCGCCTCTCCTCCTCCTCCCCTCCTCCCTCCCTCCCCTCCTCCTCCTCCTCCTCCTCCTCCTCCTCCCCTCCCCCCCTCCCCTTCCTCCTCTTCCTCCTCCTCTTCCTCCTCACCCTCCTCCTCCTTCTCCTCCTCCTCCTCCTCCTCCTCCTTCTCTTTCTTCTCCTCCTCCTTTTTCTCGTATAGCATGCTATTGGGCGCCCTTCCGCGCGCATGCGTGCATTGTAAGTTAGACACGCTATTGACCGGAGGCAGTCTCGAGCAGCTCTGAGTGATGAGAAGGGGTGTTGCATGTCCTGGCACGAGGGCTTGAGAGGGTCTGAACAACATCCTATGTGACATGGAGCTCAGCTGCTGGGAGGGATGCGCACGTGTGCATGTGGCTTGCGGGAGAGACTGGTCAGGCAGATGGGGCGGCTGCCCTTTGCTTGAGACCTCTGCCACCACGACTGGGGCCGCTCCCCGCAAGCTGGGCTTCGCAAGTCGCACCTTCCCCTTGTTCTGAGGGCGGATGGGCAAGGATGAGGGCGCGAGAGCGTGGCCCCGAGTTGACGGGGGTTCCAGCGAGCATCATTGCAGCAGCTCGGAGGCGGAAACAGTACCCACACCGCTACCGTTGCCTCGGTTTCGCCGTAATCGGCCTCCTGGGAGGCCCTCGTCGCCACCGCCGGTCTGGCCTCGTCTAAATCTTGGGCAGAAAGCACCCTGAGAAGGGGCCGTGGTGTAGCGGTCTCGGAGCCTTCGGGGCTCCCAAGCAGCAGCGCAAACAGCGGCGGCACAGGCAGCGACCGAACGATTACGGACTGCCTGGGGGGGGTCACGGCGCTCCTCTGGGCAGTCGTCCTCCTGGTCGTTCCCGGTCGTCCCGGTTCGTCGCTGTCGTCGCCGTCGAGGCCGCCAGGCCGCATCCAGCGACCCGACGAGGAGCAATCGTTCGAGCTCACCGCCCCTGCCAGATTCGGAACAGCGCGGGACCGTTTTCGGCGGCGAGGGAGGGGGGGAAGTGAAAAGGGCCTGGCCTTCGCAGAAGGCTCGGAAGTCCCCCCCCGGCCTGTCGAGAGTTTTCTGAGCCTTCCCCGAAGGCACAGGAATCTTCTCAGAAGGCGCGAGGGCTTCTGAGAAGTCTCGCCTCCTTGTGAGATGGCTCCTTGTGAGATGGCTCCTTGTGAGATGGCATCCTTGTGAGGTGGCATCCTTGTGAGATGGCATCCTTGTGAGATGGCATCCTCCCTCTCGCGTCCTCCCCTGGGCGTGCCGCCGAATGTCGGTCAGGATCGGTCCCTGGACTCCTCCCGGGGTCCATCCGATGCGGTCTTTCTCAACAGGAAAAGGAAGAAAGTGCGCCAGTGGATCTCCCTGAATACACTAAAGGGAGGGAAGGGGGGGGGTCCAGAAGCCCCCCCCACTCCCCCCTTAAAGGGGGGGGGGGTCGGGACCCCCACCCCCCATCCCCTCCTTAAGGGGGGGGGTCCCGACCCCTCCGCCCCCCCCTCCCTTGAAGGGGGGGGTCCGGAACCCCTCCCCCCCTCCCCTCCCTGGCGCTGGAAAGGGGAGGGGGGGGTTCGGACCTCCCCCCCCCTCTCGTGCAGGGAGTACAAAGTTGGGAGTAGGGAGTGGTGAGTACTGAGTAGTGAGTTAGTGCGCAGTGAGTAGTGAGTATTCTGTAGTGAGTAGTGGGTAGTGAGTGGCGCGTAGGGAGTAGGGAGTAGGGAGTGGGGAGTAGTGAGTAGTGAATAGTGAGTAGTGTGAACTGATAAGTGGGTTGTGAGTGGCGAGTAGTGAGTAGTGAGTAGGGAGTAGCGAGTAGTGAGTATTGACTAGGGAGTAGGGAGTACTGAGTAGTGGGTAGTGAGTATTGGGTAGTGAGTAGTGGGTGGCGAGTAGTGATTAGTGAGTAGTGAATAGAGGGTACTGCGTAGTGAGTAGTGGGTAGTAAGTGGTGAGGTGAGAAGTGAGTGGTGAGTAGAGAGTAGTGAGTAGTGAGTAGCGAGTAGTGAGTAGTGAGTACTGAGTACTGAGTACTGAGTGCTGAGTAGTGCGTAGTGAGTAGTGAGTAGTGAGTAGTGATGAAAAGAGAGTAGTGGGTAGTGGCAGTGGGTAGTGAGTAGCGAGTAGGGAGTAGCGAGTAGTGAGTAGTGAGGAGCGAGTAAGGCGTAGTGAGTAGTGAGTAGAGAGTAGTCAGTAGTGAGTAGTGGGTAGTGATTAAAGAATAACGAGTAGGGAGTTGCGAGTAGGGAGTAGTGAGTAGCGAGTAGGGAGTAGGGAGTAGGGAGTAGCGAGCAGTGAGTCGTAAGAAGTGGGTAGCGAATAGTGGGTACTGAGCAGCGATTGGTGAGTAGTGGGTAGTGACTAGTGACGAGTGACTAGTGAGTTTCGACTAGTGACTAGACACTATGTAGTGACTAGTGAATAGGGAGTAGCAGGTAGTGAGTAGTGAATCGTGAGTAGCGCGAAGTGAGTATTGAATAGCGAGTATTGGAGTAGCGAGTAGAGAGTACTGAGTACTGCGTAGTCAGTTTTGTGTAGGGCGTAGCGAGTAGCGAGTACTGGGTAGTGAATAGTGATTTGAGGGCAATGAGTAGTGAGCAGTGAGTAGTGGATAGTGGGTAGTGGGTAATGAGTTAGTGATTAGTGAGTGGTGAGTAGGGAGTACTGAGTAGTGCTTAGTGAGTAGTGAGTATTGAGTAGTGGGTAGTGAGGAGTGAGTAGTGAGTAGTGAGTAGGGAGGAGGGAGTAGTGAGTAGGGAGTCGTGAGTAGCGAGTAGTAGGTGGTGGGTAGTGGGTAGGGGATAGTGATCAGTGAGTCGTGAGTAGTGAGTAGGGGGTAGTGAGAGGTGAGTAGCGAATAGCGAGTAGTCAGTAGTGGGTAGTGAGTAATGAGTCGTGAGTACTCTTTGGGGCTGGGGTTAGTGGTTGGGTTCGGATTAGGGGTTTGGGTTAGGGTGAGGACTAGGGTAGGGGTGGCGGGGGTCCGGTTTCCGGAGTCAGGGGGCGGCGTGGCGAAAGGGGGGGGAGGGGGGGGGGTGCGGGCCAAAGGTGGGAGGGGGGGGGGATCAGACCCCCCCTCCCCCTTTGAAGGGGAGGAGAAGGGGGAGAGGTCCCCGACGACGGATCAGGTAAAAGGGGGGAGGGGGGGGGGGGTCCCCGACGGACGGAGGGAAGGGGGGGGGGGTCCTACCCCCCCCCCTTGGGGAGATCCAGCGGCGCACCCTCTGAAAGAAACACGCAGACACAATGAATCTTCGATTTCCCAGAAAATATGGGAAGCTATGGGAAGTGGCTGGGAAGACAGAAGCCCAGAACATATGGGAAACTAGGGGGAATCTTTTTTATTTGTGTGTATTGATCTGTGTGTCCTGGGGCCCCTTCGCTTTCACCCCGCATCGAACTCGGGGGGGTCCCGATGGCCCGAACGCGGCCCCCCAGGAACCGCAGGCGACGAGACGCCGCCTCGAACCCCGAACTTGGTTTTGGCATCGCTCGGACGTGCGCATCTTTCCTTTGGCGAGGACCATCGACGAGGTGCATCCTTGATCGTTTTGCAAAAAAAAAAATTAGCCTGGCGAAGGACCCAACCATATGCAGTTGAGAGTACCGCAATTGTGAATATCTTCTTCGGTGGCGCTCCCGATGGGGCCACGAGCCGTATGAGGGGTGTGCCGAAATGCGTGGCAGTGTACACAACACGAACGAAGACGATAGGTCCGAATATGAAAGCTTGAGCGCGTGCGAGTCGGATCGCGAGCGAGTCTGATTATGAATGAATCTGCGCGCGATTGATTCTATTCGCATGAATGCGTGCATGGATACGCCCAGTGTAAATGTATGTATACGACTGTGAACAGTTTGGGTCTGCGTGACTCTCGGTACTCGTGACTCTGAGCGTCGCCTCTGCAGGGGGCTTCCCTGGGAACCCCGACGGCAGCGCCCGCGCGCCGCGACGCCCATGTCGGCACGCCACACACCTGGTGTGCGGGACGCATGCGGACGGC